AAAACCAATCGTGGCTGACAGGAAATTTGACTACACAACGAGTAGTACACGCATGTGTTAAACATATAGATGAAGTCACTTCAAAACGAACCACCTATGAGCTAAAACTTGACACTTAGATAGAGGAGGAAGTAGAAAGAAAATCTTTATACGCTATTATCATCCAATGAATTCATTGCAACACCACGAACAATGAGACTTCTGTCTCGCTTACCTGCCCGACGGGTAGACCCAATAGAATAAATAGAATAAGAGGCTTCACCTAGAGCTCTTCTCTTCCCCCTGAAAAAAATAGGATGTTCATTTGGCATGAGAAGCCTACGAGCCCTTACTTGATGTCTGCGCTAACTGCCCTATAGCTGGTGAATCCTTTGAATCATAAGAATGGCAAAATCAGTAGATACCGGGCTTTGAACATCTCACCACACGCGTACTAAAAGCGCGATCTTGAAACTAGAAACTCTGGTTTGGAACAAATGAGCGGATAGGCTTGACGAAGTTTAGGAAAAATGCAAGAAGAATTTTTGCCGTTCTGTCTTTTGCACGGAAGTCTGTCTGTCTTCATTCCAATCATCGTAGTTCGATCGATCAACTACGCCCATCAAATCTAACCATCTCTCCTGAAGTCCTTTCCCTTCTAGTATAGTAGCCCTTCATCGTTATTGAAACATAGGTCCTCGGCAGGCGGGAACAAAAAGAGAAAGAAGAAGATAGAAAGGTTCGGTCCCAGTTGGTCTCGTCTATGGATTTTCTTTCCCTATCCTATTGTCGAGACGAATGTGGCCATACCCAGAGGACTATCGCATCAGCAAGACGACTTTCTAGTCAGATCCTTCCTGCGCTTCGGATATGAAGAATTTGATCGTAGGAAAGATGAAAAAGGCCCCCTCTTTCACCAGAACTTGGACTCAATCCACATCCCTTGCTTGAACCTTCTACACCGAACTCAATTCAATAAAGTTTCCCCGTCCGATAGGTGCTATATATAGTGGGCGATTTACCTAGTAATTGGCATTCGGCGAAGCAACTTCTTTATTCTATTCGCTACCGGTTTTGGGTCTTATTAATCTACAATAATCGATAAGAAAATCACTGCCGCTGTCAGCTACAGACCCAGAGTAGGACCTAAACAATGAACTCTTCTCTTTGGCAACAAACAATCAAAGTCAAACCTTTATGAAGACGAGCATACGATGTGACTTGAACCACGCCCTCACTTCAAGTCTTCTGACAGCGGTTAGAACGGCAATGACTCTATCTTTCTTCTCTGATTCCTATTGAGTTTCCCAAAGGCTTCTCTTCTGACTGTGCTCGTTGGGGAATTAAGCCTAGGTTTGGAACCCCTGCCGCGGGCTCCCCCTTCGTCTTTCTTTTGGTGTGACTGTTTTTCTATCAATATCCGGTGATCAAGAAGAGAATGCCGTAATAGAATGGGCGAGGCCGAGATTAGATTGACTTCCCCTCATCCAGTTCCTAGTTTCTAAGCTACTGATGAATCTAGCTATGAGGGATTCCTCATCTCAGAGATGAGGGTCGAAACGAAAGAAGGCAGGATTTTGATACCTCAACTTGATTTATTGATTGCTTCTTTGGTTGATTGATTCTTGAAGACAAGCATACAGACAGTGACACAGATCCATTTCTGCTTTCATTTCCTGCTAGTTTGGTTGCACTTGGGCTTAAAAGCGACTTTCCAATCTTAATCTTAAGGCTATTGGTATTGCTTCAACCCACTTGGTGAAGTAGTCTGTAGCGGTGATAATAT